GGTGGGGGTGGGGGTGGCGGGGTGTTTAGAGGAAACTTAACTGTTTCTTGCATGTGAAGAAGAGTAAATGGAGGTGAAAACACGTGACAGAGCAACGGTCGTAGTACAGGTAAGTCATGTGGTAAGTGACCGTTGGGGGCATTAATTCGTACTTGTGGGAACACCTTCCCTTTTTCTATTCCTTTGCACTAGTCATAGACTTTCTTTGATCCCCATTTCTATTTTGACTGGTTTTTGTTTGTCTGCCCTAGTTATTGCTTCTCAAGGTTCCATGGCCATCGATCACTCCCAATTGGGTCAATAAGTTTTTAACACGGTATATCAGTTCGATATAAAATTAACGAAATGTGTACATTTTTTAAGCAATTTTGGATCATATATTTGTGGGTTCGTAAGACCTATTTAATAAATAAGTCATTTAAATAAGATCAAAAATGATGCAAATTGCAAACCCTATTAAACATGATTTATACATATGAGGATTTTCACATGAGACAAACGGCTTAACCATTAATTGATCAGGTATAAAATTAAATAAATTTTAACATGGCACAGCTAAAAAATAAGATATGACATGACCGTGGTAAGAGCCCTTACTAATTTGGGCCGGACACGAGTGAAAGTGAAGTAATGGGCATATCCATCCCAACGAGGGGTATGTTTGGATTCGGAAAGAGCAACAACTTATGATGTCATTTACATGTTTTTTTGGCCTTGTATCAATAATAGTCGTATGGATAAAAATGCCCCTAAAAGCATAAATCTCACCTAAAAGTGTGGTTTTTGATCATTAAGCTAGTGGTGATTCCAAAAAAGACTTAAAGCTGTCCAAAAAACAGAACTTGGAAAAAAGTTGCAGAAGGGTTTTGGGGGGAATTCCAGCTTAGAATATGAAGAATTCCAAGACAATTATGAAATGGGCTTTGAACAAATGATTATAAGGAGCGTCCATATGGTATTTTACTTTAAGCAATTAGACTGCTAAATTCATGGTAAAACTCACTGAAAAGAAGAGAAAAAAGAAAAGAAAAGAAAAAAAAGATTCATTGAATGGCGTTGTAAAATATCATTTTCCAAGCACCAAAAAAAAAAAAGGTGCCTAGGAGTCCAAATGATCATGTCAAATATGATAGAGAAAAAAAAGCCAAAAAGGTAGTGAGGCTCGTCCATGATTTGGGTTTTTACAGCTATCTAACCACCGACTCAATGGTCACTAAAAAGCCATAACGTTATGATCTTTAGTGTTGGGCAAGTACTCGAGGGCTCTTGCACTTGGATGCTTCTTAGTGGCCCCAAGTTCTAACCGCTCTCTTTGTGGCCGTTCCTCGGATCTTGTTCAACAAAAACACATGGAGAGACCCTGAATGGTAAGAGCTTTCTAACCTCATACAAATTAATAGTTCTTTCTTTCCTCCCCACAACTTTTAAGTAGTGGGTGGCTAAAAGGAAAGCAGAGAATGTAATTTCCACAATGTTTTGACGTGGAAATGACCCTTCCCTTCCCCCGCCTCCCTTCCCTTTTTTTTTTCCCCGGAAATTAGGATTAATAATTGGCCGGATTATGTTGGATTTGCATCGATGGTGTCTCAGTCAAGTTGTGTTAAAACTTGTTCGACTCATATTCAACCTATTCATAATAATGAAATCCTCCCATTATAACTACCTCAATGGCTTGTCAATTTTCCATTTCATTTTTATAGTGTAAATTAAAATTGACATTTTTGATAATAATCAAAAGAATTGAGAAGGAAAATGGTTTACAGAATTAAAGAGCTTGATTAATCCATTTTAGTGAAGTCACTTGCTCGAAGTGTTTTTATTACTTGGAGAAGATAGTGGTTACAGCTATTTGAGTGTGCAATTGCTTGTCCTTATACAAAATAGGGATTTGCCTATTTATACTCTAGGGTAGAGTAATTCTTAAATAATGATGGGGTGGTCTTTTAGTTTGTTAAGATTTTTGGAAGGGAATATTTAACCGTTAGAGAATATATTCTCTTTGGTCTAAGACGATATTCTAGAAGTTGGTGAAATGATATTGATGATTTATCTTTAGGTAAGGTCTAATATTGTAATTCTCTTTTTGCATCTTCTCTTGTTATTGACTGAACCGTTTTAAATAAGTATAACTTATCTGAGAATGATTGAGCTAATTCCAATCATAGCCAATATGGTTTATGGTTTGAGTTGACCTGAGCTCTGGCCAGCAGGTTGATCGCTCTATCTTTTAGGTCAGTGATTCACCCATTTGCACTTCAGCTCTAATTCTTCAACTATGGCTAAGAGAACTTAAAACCCACTCAAATGATAGAATATATAGTGTGAGGAATTTAGTAGTTCAAAAATATATATATGTAAAATGCCATAGATTGGAGGTTACATATTCTTATAATTTTGCAGACAAGCAGAAACATTTGAATTGTGAAACAAAACGAAGTCTTGTACGACCATACCAAGCTCTCCCCAGGTAACTGGACCCCACATCACGTGGACCTCCCACTCAACCATTTTTTTTCCCCCCAACAAAAATCCCATTTCACCCTTTCCCGAAATATCACCAACATCATAATGAATTTCTACTTCTATAAAAACTACAATTCCCAAAATATCCCAACCCAATTTTCATGGCATAGAATGTGTCTCCTTATTTGTAGGTTAAAATTGCGCTAACTAGCTCACTTATTTGAGAAAGTTCTATAGTCACAAAAACACAAATAATAATAATAATAAAATAAAATAAAATAAAAAAGAAGAAGAAAATAAAAAGCAAATTTCGTCCAACCTAAACTTAAAACAGAGCACCTCGTAGTTCTGTCACTCAAAAGCTAAACGGCGAGAGATTTGTGTGTCAGATTCCCTCTGGCTGCACCCCAAACATCTTTCTTTTCTTTTCTCTCCCAAATTCCAAGGGAAATAAACATCCCTATCTCTATCTCATTGTCTCAATTAGTTTCTCAAAAGAATAGACTTTTCAAAAATTCCTCTTCATTTACACCCGGAAAACCCCAACACCTGAGAAACGTCAAGAAACACACACAACCCCCCAACTTTCGCACAAATTTTCCTCCAACCCAAACACAACCCAATGACCAATACATCCAAAAGAACACGACATCGTATTAATTGCAGATAGAAGAAAAACGACGACGTCCTTGTCGCTTACCCACAAAGCAAAACAGTGTCACAATACCAAGGGAGGGGACCCAAAAACGTCTTTTTGCTCCGACGGGCGCACACGTGCGCGGGTGACTTGAAACCTGTGCCAGATCATCCCAACAATATTCCATAGAAAAACTAAAATACATTTTTAAACAAATAAAAAATAGCTGTAAAATAAATATTTAACAATTTCATTTGATTTTATTATATAAAAAAAAAAACTCTTTTCAATTTGTTTATACCCTTTCGCCTTTCTTTCATTTTCCTAGTACAATACAACAACACATTTCCCTTTTCTTTTTTTAATTTCCAACCCATATTTTACCAACAAAAAAAAAAAAAGCAAACCCGAGGCTTCGGAAATCTAAAAGAGAAAAAGAATCTCGATGTTTGCCGGTAACCAGAACAGGTCTATGATGATGATGACCTGGAAACCGACTCAGCCAGTTTCCCGATCCTCTCCACGAGCTCCGGCGAGAGTTTTTTCGCCGGTCTTCTTTCTCTCTCCGGTCGAAAATCAAAACCCAAAGCATCCGAAACCTCCTCGGAGCTCCACCCTGCTTTACGGAGCGAATCCGAAAACCGATCCGCTTTCAGAAGCAAAGCATCAAGAACCGCTTGATTGTCCAACAAAACCATGTCGCATTCGAAGAACCCGGAGGCTGAGACGTGTACGATCTCTGAAACGTCCGATTCAGCCCACCCACCTTGTCTCAGAACTGACCCGATCTGGCCTATGTACTCGTCAACCCATTTGGGCATTTCAGACCTTGGCAAGTCGATGTACCGTTCTGGCGATGATGAGGAAGACGACGACGAATTTGAGTTTCTGCGCCGCCGATCCACGGCGGCATCGCTCCAGAACTCCACCCATCTCGGCGTTCGTCCCCCGGTGACTGTATCAAGACTTCTTCTCGAAAAATTTGACGATGATCCGGCTGATTTTTCACTCACAGATCGTTGTTTGGACAAGACCTGAGGGTTTGAGCTTTGGAACAAACAAGATTCGCGGTCGAAGAAATCGGAGAGATCAAACCCACAACAGAAAATTCGATTTTCGTCGATGTAGAAAATAGGGTTACCCGCTAAAGGAGGGTTACACGGAATGTAGCAATGGTTGAAAATGGGAATCAGGAGTGGGGCTCGTTTGAGAGCGTTTCTTGCGATTTTGAGAGCTTTTTCAGGCTCAGATGGTCTTGGGCCCCAAGATTTGGACCACAGAGAATTTCGAGCGATATGGAAAGAGATGGCAGCGATGGGGAGGTTTAATGAGGCCCGGAGATGGAGGCGCGCCGTGCCAGAGGAGCGCCAGTCGGGAAAGCCCGGTCCGAGGGGCAAGCCGGCGGCGAGAACCGCTTTGAGATCCGGAGGGAAGCCGAACCCGAACTCGGCCTCTGCTCTGGCAAACTCTGCGTCAGATAAGCCCGGTAGGACTTGTATACCCGAGTTCTTGAGGTGGGTGAGGACTTTATCAGCTAGAGAAGTGAAAGATTGGAGGCTGTTTCGAGCTGGGAGTGGAGTGGAAGGTGTTGATGCAGCGGCTCTGGCGGAGAGACGGCGGAGTCCGGCCATATGCGACGGGTTCAGACCGATCATTCTCCGGTCTACGTCGACCATTGTTGTTTAAACACTCGATGAACGATGGCTTTCGATAAGAAATATCTAAACTCAGCCGGAAATTTTTCACCAAAAATGATAGTTTGTCTCTGATGTGAATTGGTTTTGTAGAGAGAGAGAGAGAGACAGAGAGAGCGAGAGAGATATTATGTGAATTGAAAAAAAGGAAAAGCAGAGAGAGACTCTGGACTGAGCACATACTAGGAGTATTTATAGCATGTAAGTGGAGTGGGGCCCACATTGAGATTGTGCTTGCTTGCTAATGCACTGATATTCTAGTTTCCTATATTGTCCCTGAAATTTCTCAGAATGACTAGGTTTTGTAAATTAATTATTTTTTTTTTCAAAATAGTTTTTTTCCTCACACTATTACAAATGAATTTTTTTTTCCCGATCAGACATTATTACAAAGTAAGGGACAAATATGTTCAAATACACAACCTTAAAGTTTCATAACATAACTGATAATCAATAGATTAACTGTTAATCTTCTGTTACAAAGGAATGAAATGAGTCAAATTATGGAGAGAAAAATGTACAAGTTTTAGTTCAAATAAATTAAAAAGTGTCCAAGTAAAATTGCTTGCCAATTTGATAGTGTTTTTTTTTAGTTACGAGTATTTAAACTTGTGCCGACTACTCTCTTAAATTCATCGGTTAACCACCATAGCTTAAGTTAAGTTATAACATATCTCTAAACGGGCCCAATTTGATAGTTAAGATGAAGATTTTTAACATGAATCTCAATTAGATATAGAATTATAATATTTAATCTTGATGAATTTGTGTGATAAATCAATTGATTCATCAGATATAATTAATTAATTATTCAATACGAATTTAATTAGATATGATTTACATACGAAATGAATTCAGTTATAAAAATAATTATTATTTAAAATTATAAATAAAATAAACTCGAAGGTCAAAACCTAAAATTTGTGGTTCTTTGATGCCATATAGAGCAAGCAGCGGAGGGCGGGCAAAGGCAAGTAGGCGTGGTAAGTGATAAAAAGCTAATAAGGTCTTCTCTGTGGGAATGGATGCCATTGCCTTGTTTCATTCATGTGTCCCTACCCAAGTGGTGGGCTCCACTCTGGAAAATTATAGTTTTGATGTTGATCGATAAATTGTTTTTGAATAAAACAGTGAGAAGTGAGATATGACAATGGTAGCTACCAATCCTAAATAAAATGACAACTTAGTGGCTATAAAAATTTATTTATAATTTTAATTTATATAATTTATAATTATTAATTAAAAAGAAATTAAATAATAAAAAAGTATTATAATAAAATTTTTATTTTTTGATTTATTTTGACTGGATAAAATGTGAAGGTACAATATCAAAAAATTGACAGTTTTCGTAAATAATGAGACTCGCTTAAAAAATTACACAAATGTGAAGTACATAAGATCAAAAATAAAAAATATGATTAGTGATTTTCTTTAGTCAAACTAAACTGGATTAACTTCTCATGAAAACGTACATAATCCGCGGCAAGATGAATAGATACTCGGAAGACAATACAATAAAATCTTCAACGGGGGATATGAAAATTAAAAAAATTTGACTTTTTAATGCTAACCTTTGTCTTTTGAGTTTGGAAAAATTGTGAGAGAATTAACGGTCACCAACGAAGATTAGTGTATCGGGAACAAAGTAGTAACAATGTTACTCTCGACTTATAACAATTTAATTTCTCCAATCGACAAATTAGTTTATTGTTGATGGACCAAGCTCAAAGGCCCAACTCATATTATAAGCCCAGATCAAGTTTATAGTCCGACTCCAAGAGATCCAGCAAATTCAGCTTAGTGTGATCAACTTAGTCAAGCTCAACCCGTTCAAGCTCATCAGTGTGGTCAGTCTGGTCAAGCTCAACAGCTCAAGAAGCTAAAGGAGCAAACAAGGTCATCCAAAGCACTATCCTCGCTGTCTTGGAGATGGTCAACACTCCACCTCATCTTTTGACCGAATCTCATAGAGAGCACCGCAACTACCTAATACGTTGAGAAGAGCTCGCTCAGATCTAACAAACTAGTCAACTACTTATTAATATCTTGTCCAAATCTGTTAGGAGAGTGAGTATAAATTGTAAGCCCCACCAACACTTGGGGGGGACAGATCATGCTTTACCTGAGCACGACTCTCTGCTCCTCACACCATTGAGTTAATAAAATACCCGGCAACCAGAGTCATTGAAGAGTGGACGTAGGTCGAGCTAACCAAACCACTATAAATTGTCTGTATCTCTCAATTTCTTGACATTATTTTTCTTGCATTTATTATTCACACTTGACAGATGGTGTGCAAAATTATTTTGTTCATTATCAGTTTGGCGCCGTCTGTGAAAAACGATAAAATTTTCACTCTTGAACATTCCATTTGCTGAACCAATGGCGATCACTACTAAATCCATAAACCAACCTGAAGACAATCCTCCACGAGAGGAGGAGGTTACTCTTCCACCTACCAACTCTATCTCAAATGCTCTAGCTCCAAATTCACAACAAATGCTGGAGACCATGCTGCAGCTAGTAGCCCAAAACCAGCAGATACTGCAATTCATGCTCGCTGGACAAGGAAGAGAACAACTTGGAGGTGCACAACGTGGAGGACCCCAAGGAGTTCCACGCCTTGAACATCGAAGAGTTCCACGCCTTGGATATCAAGGAGCTCCACAACTTGCTGCTCCCCATTTGGACACCCATGCAGATCTGGGCACCCCCCTTTGGAGTCCCCTTGGGCGCCCCACACAGAGGAGCCTCTCATAAGGGACCTCCACCTCCTCCTACTTCCCATGGTGAAGACCCCCATTTCCAAGAAGATGAGGGCAAAAATCAAAACATGGAATATGAGAGTCATTTTCATGAACATTTCAGAAGAGCCCCCAATCACTGGGACGAGAAAATTAAGGAAGTGCAAATTTAATTGGGTGACGTCTTCAACGCCATGAAGGAGCAGAGACCCGAGATATTGCACTACCTCGTAAGGCAAACAGACACGTCTTTCAAACCTGATATGGCGAACTATCCCCTCCCTCAAAAGTTCAAAATGTCATCCATGGAGACCTTTGACGGAACGAAGGATCCACTTGATCATCTCGAAACCTACAAGTCCTTAATGCAACTGCACAACGTCTTTGACGAAATTATGTGTAGGGCATTCCCAACTACCTTAAAAGGGATCAGCGCGACAATGGTTCGTCAAACTCACCCCGGCCTCCATAGGTTCCTTCACCAAATTGAGTAGATTATTTGTGGCACAGTTCATTGGTGGACGTCGCCAACAAAAGCCTGCCACCCATCTGCTCAATATAAAACAGGATCGAGACGATAGTCTGAGGAGTTACCTCACTCGTTTTAACGAGTAGGTCCTCCAAATTGAGGAGCTTAATGACAAAGTCACCATGACCACCTTTCTAGGAGGCCTCCACTCATCCAGATTCCTTTTTTCAGTAATGAAGCGATCACCAAAGAGCATGCCAGAACTATTGGCAAAATCTCAAAAATATATGAATACTGAGAAAATCAACAGGTCTAGGCAAGGAGAATCATCTCGCGGATCTCCAAAAGCTTGACCAGCCTCTGCATTGTTCTCAAACAGACAGCCTCAGTATCCAGCTTAGCAACTCTCTCACGAGGTCGCCAAAAGCTTGGTCTGTCTCTACACTGTTCTCAAATAGGCAGTCTCAATATCCAGCTTAGTGACTTTCTTACGGGTCGTCAAAAGCTTGGCCTCTGCGCTGTTCTCAAATAGGTAGCCTCAATATCAAGCTTAGAGACTCTCTCGCGGGTTGCCAAAAGATTGGTTTCTGCATTGTTCTTAAATAGACAGTCTCAATATCCAGCTTAACAACTCTCTCGTGAGTCGCCATAAGCTTGGCATCTGCACTGTTCTTAAATAGGCACCCCTATATCTCCAGCTGAGTGACTCTTTCACAGGTCACCAAAAGTTTGGCCTCTGCGCTGTTATCAAACAGGCAGCCTATACCTCAAGCTTAAAAACCCTCTCATGGGTCGCCAAAAGTTAGGTCTCAAAAGGTGTAGCTCTCTCACGAGCAATTCTTCAACTCTGTCTTTACTCTCGCGCAAGCAGCCTACCTCTCCCTATAGGTAATTATGTGAGATATTTTAATGTTTAAAATAACATTATTTTTGTCATCATAACTAGGCTCCAAAGGTGTCTGATCTTATGTGCTCGCCCAAACAAGACAACCCAGCACCTGGAGGGGTGCCTAACGTTCTATGTTCACCCAAACGAGGTAGCTCAGCACTTGAAGAGGTGTCTGACCACCTTTGCTCACCCAAACGAGGCAGCCCAACGCTGTCTGGCCCTCCAAAGTTGCACAAAACAGCTCCAAAGGCGCTTGATCCTATGTGCTCCCCCAACAAGACATCCCAGCACTTAAAGAAGTGCTTGATCCTATGTACTCACCCAAACGAGGCAGCCCAACACCTGGAGGGATGTCTGACGCTCTATACTCACCCAAACAAGGCAGCCTAGCACTTGAAGTGGTGCCTGACCACCTTTGCTCGTCCAAAGTTGAACAAAACAGCTCCAACGGTGCCCATATCAACACCTAAAGTGACACCTCTAGCTCCTGATGCCCAGTCATCCTAGGATGTACCTCCATTTCCTGATGTCCAGGTATCTCAGGCTGCACCTCTATTTCCTGATGCCCAGACTGCACCTCCAGCTCGTGATGCCCAAGCATCCCAGGCTGCATCTCTATCTCCTGATGCCCAGGCATCCTAAGTTGCACCGCCATTTCCTCATGCCCAGACATCCTAGGTTACACCTCCATCACCTAATGCCTAGGCTGCAGCTCCAGCTCCTGATGTCCAGGCTTGTGCCCAGGTAACCCCTGCCGGCGCCCAGGTTGCACCCCCAAGTTGCCCAAGGCAACCCCAGGCTAGCTCAGAACACTGTCTGTTCACCCAAAACATGCGCCTAGCTGCCTGCTCGAAGTTTTGACCGTAAATTTTACTCTGTAAACTTCAAATAGGAGCTTATTATATATTAAATCGAAACTTTTGATGAGCCCTACAAGACTCACAGCCTTTGGCTGTGAATGATGGTGTAAAAAGTCCAAAAAAGACCCAAAAATAGATATTTTGGCCTCCCAAAATTTTAAAAAAAAAAAAAAAATTT